ATAACATATGTGTCTAGAATTTATTGTAAAGCATGAACATTAATGTGGCCTTATAATGAAATAATTTTATTAAAATAAAACATTACACTATTTATTTAGGAAGCCTAAAAAAGCTATCTGTAAAAATTTTTCTGTAATATATGAACTTTAGTAGGACTTTAAAGATTTAATTTTCTGAAAATAAAAGATTATACTCCTTATTTAGGAGGCATATTGATTCATGTAAATTACATGTGGGGACAACTGAAGAAACAAATCATCTATCAATTATAATATGTCAAATAGATGAACATCAAATTTTATTTCCTATCATTTGATAGAAATCTTTTCTTACATCCAAAATTGAATAAGCATAAAATCCTATTATATAAACATAAAGCCATAAAGTAACATTTTGTAAAATAAAGAATTTCACAAATCCTCCCAAATAAAATTAATTAGCATCCATGATGGCTTTAACAACTCTTTTCTATTTAGATCTTATTAAGGTTAGAAAAGCTTTTAGTTTTATTAATTTTTATAGTATAATGATTTTTTTGTATTCAATTTTGGCACACAATAATTTCTCCACGACAACACTCTCCAAGAACCCCATTGGCATGCCCTAGCCGCTCCTCACATGCCTCTCTCTATTTGAAATGGATGGAGTGCCCTAGCCGTTATCCCCCTCACAACAACGGCTCTCTCCCATTCTCTCGATGCACTAGTAGCCAACCCTCTCACGCACCGCACAAGCCCTCTTCTCCCTCTCGCGCCTGAGTTCGCTGGCCGGCGCTCCTCCCCCCCCCCCGCCGCCGGCCCGAGCCGCCGGTGAGGTCTTCTGCCTCTCCACTTCGTGAGAGAACTGATTAGGGCTGCGATGATGGAATTCCGACATTGGCTTGGTTGCTATGTTTTCTTGTTTGGTTACTCGATTTCTTGTTTGTTTGATCGACATTTTCGCTGGTTTGCTCGACACTTTTGTTTATTCGACGGATCGGTTTTCTTTCTGGTTTGCTCGATATTTTGCTTGATGTTCTTGCTTGTTTGCTTTTTTTTTTTTTTTCTATTTCCTTCCCTTGCTCGTTTTCTTTGCTTTCATCCTTCTTCAGTATTTGTTGGTGACACATACAGCTACTTTGCCGTAATGGCCATGGCTGTACTTGGTATACTTGGTCATTTCAGGCCTGAATCATTGGACATCGTGGTTGGAATTGCCTATTTGACCATTGCTATTTCGTTTCAGCATTTAAACTTTACAACAGACTCAAACTGGTTTGTTGACTACAATGTAGCACTAGTATGCATCTGCTTTATGACTTCGCTTGGTTTTATTGATGGTATTCTTAATGTTCCCAGAAGATTGATAAAATCAAAATTTGAAGCAAAGTTTAAGTGTACATAGGAATATGGTCATATATATGTGAATGCCTCGGTGATGTTCTCAGTAGAGAATGACTAGCTTTCTAATATCTATTTTGGCTTTGTTCCCTTGCATGTTCATTATTACTGATTCATGTGACTTGAGATGAATGGGCTGTTGCTGTAGCGAAGAGTGCATATATGCTATTAATAGCATGACCAACCAAAGAAGGGAAGATTTATTTAATTACCACCCCGTTTTCTTACATTTACAAATCTAGCA